CATAGCCTCAACCGAGGTATCATCAGGCAGCCACGGTATTAGATATCAGTATGGACTGAATTGATCTGGCTTAGGACAGAGATCAGTGTAGGGCTCTTGTGAACACGGTAATGAACGTTTCGGTTCCATAAATTGTTGGGAAATTCTTGAGCGGCTGAGCTACTGGTGGCTTATCAAGAAAGGCTCAGCTCATGGAGTTAGTTTGGTCTGCCACCCTGCAAATACACGTAGCATGCATTCCTGGCGCAATTTTGTGAACCTGCTTTATTAGCTTTCATCGTAGTGGGCCTCGAAACAGCATCGGCCGAGAGTGACTTGTTTGCTAGGCGCGCTGCCACCAGCAGATTTGTGTGAAACACATGATGTTTCTTTCCACCAAGAGAGATACTAGCATACACTTTGAACGCTACAGTCTTATATTCACACGCTTCTACCTTTAGAGCTGAAATAAAATCTGACAATAGAGCTACATTCTTTCCTTAAGATGGGTCTCGCTCCGTCATCTGTAGGCCAGGTCAAGGAACTTTAACTCACGGTGGCACTGTAGGCCTAGAAAATAGCATATAGAAATAAATACTTGATATTTTGAAGAGTTGCGTTATATCTTTTGGGATACAACGCCTTGTTATCCGTTGTAAATCAACCAGCCTTTCGGAGGAACATGTCATCTCTGTCTTCATTGTCGAAGAATAACCGAAACAAGAAACCGGCGATGTAGGCATTATATCCCGGAAGACACAATCCTTCATAGCTACTACTGTGTTTTCTTAAGTGGCCATTAGTCAGCAAGCGAACTATACCCGACTGACCGAGCGACCGCCGCTTTTCAGCGAAGTTAGTGCCAACGTTAGTGGATAGAGGGTGCCGCGTGGTCAGGGCAATGAATCCTCACTGCATTCGCTATCTGGAAGTCGAAGGGTGAAGACGTGAATACACAAGCTAGTCAGATTTGATTGCTGAGATTCGTTACTAGGAAACAACTAGTGACACTACTGGTGTAGCCTTAGTTGACAGCTGTAACCAAGCAACGAATAGATGGAACAGATTGAGAAGACATTGCCAGTTGACGGCCGTCCCGAACCATCGTTATCATCATTCAATGTTCCGCAATTTTTGAAACGCTTATACCAGTCGTAAGTTTGTGTCTGGCCTAAACTGTTGTCACCAAAAACTTGCTTCAACATTTGGTGCGTTTCTGCAGCGATTTTCCCAAGTTTAAAACAGAACTTCATACAGACTCGCTGCTTTCTCAGGTCAGCCATCGCAAAACCGCAAACTCACGGAAACACAACAATGTAAATACGTTCACCAACAATAAACCCAACCACTCAACTCGACGCTGCTTGCCACACTGATTCAAGAAGGGTGTGTGGGGAGACACCTAACGGTATTTCGATGTACTCATTCGCGCGCAAAATTCAAATTCCGGGGACTTTTTGATACCCCACTTACGTATCTGGCATAGCTAATGCGTTTACTATAGGTTTACGCCAATTAGGTTGTGGGATATCGGCCCGAATTGCATTAGGCCTTTATTTGCATATAGGTCTAGGCCCACTTTCATTATCTATGATATATGTTCAGTCATTGCGAAAAATTTATAAGTATTTAACGTGTTCACCCACTTTTCTCCAAGTTTTATTGAGGTCAGTTGGAAGGCACCTGGTTTCTGTTGGCCGCCAGATAAATATAGTGACCCCTTTTGTTTAGACTTACGTCTTGGAAACTCCGAAAATCACATCACTGTAGTCACTATGAATGTGGCATTGCCACTCTCGGAAGATGATGTGTCACGACAGGCTGTGATATGTGTTCTGATGATATACGAACGAATGTCTAATTTCGATAAAATTCGGTTACGCAGTTGGAAATTGCTTCAGTGATAATTTATTTTTATTAGCAGTTGTATTTCAGGCGCTGTGCTGCCGTGTGCTCCTGCTTCATAATTGATAGGTCACGTGATCGAATGTTGACCCGGAGACCAGCTGTTCCGACTCGTGATGATCCTCATTTCTACCTTGGAAATGACATGGCGGTCCGTTAAATCAGACCCAGAACTCTACTTTCAACTTCCTTTCTTCCATTTATCATTGCGTCCTACAGTTCGGTGCAATGCAACCAGATTTTCACTCAACAGAGCCCTGTTAAATGAAGCAGCGAAAAAGCAGTGATATGTCGGGGGACATTCTGCAAGTTCACTCTTCTAAGGGCACATAAATCATAGTTCTTAATAAACTGCTTGAGGCGGGCCACAACGACATCTTCTCACATTCTGACCGATTTCGAGGTTAGGTATACTTTTTCCATTTGCTATAGAACGCCGCACAGAGAAGTGCCACCGAGATGGCCACTGCTAGGTAACGGCTCGGTAATTAGGTTGCAGCTTTTCGTTCATCTCTCATTTCCAGGGTTATTATGATTAATATTAGAGGGCATTCATTGAGGTAGTGCGCGCCAATGACATATACGTGTATTTTTTTTTCCTTGGCACTACAGCCCCAGTGGGCCTAGGCCTACCTTCATGAACTTCTCCGTTCACTTCGGTTTTTCTAGATCTTACACATTCGGTAGGACTCCTTGGGCGGGTGATCAGATCATCGCAAGGCCTCTACCTGTACACAAACACAGAAAAACGCACACACACAAACTAACATCCATGCCCTGAGCGGGATTCGAACCCACGATCCCGGTTTCCAAGCAAGTGAAGACAGTACATGCCTTAGACCGCTCAGCTACCGTAACCGGCAATGAGATATATACTCTCATAAATTTTATTAAGGACAGGTAAACGAAATCTGACTGGCCGAATTAGGGAGCCGGGCAACGTGAGAAATGTCATTAAATAAGGACAGGATCGTATCTTTGTTTACTGCGTCACAAAGAGTAAGCTAAACGAAAGACCCTCGTTTGTTTCATGCGGCCAGTTTGATCCTGACCCATTAAGCGCTCTACGTATGCATATAGCAATGCTATATGCGTTGTTGTCTTTAAGTGCCATGGTATAGATTTGTGTTATTAATATTTCCAGAACCGTCATGTGTAATAACCCCACTTAGAGTCTTTACAGATCCAGTCATGCACGGCATTGGTCCAAATTGTCTTCCTTGTGCAAATCTTGTACTTTTAGTCAACCACCCAAATTTGTAATAAGGCAATTGCGACGTAGTTGCTAGCTCGAATTTAACCTGTCAGTTGAGAGAATTGCGTGTAATCCGAAAAAGAAAACAGCCCGTTTGAGTTCATAGCTTTGTGTTTCGAAATTACGTATATCTTTCAAAACTGAAATGTATTTTGCGTTACCCGTTGGTCCAAAGCAGACGTGTATTGCGCCCTGTCACTAGATTTTTATATTGAAGTTTAAAATTGAACTGAAGGTTAGAAGTCATTAAATTAAAGCGACTTTCATAATTCGATATTGTATCTAAATGAAACATTGTAACCAGAACTTATATTAATTGCAAGATTCCGGATTTTGAACCTATCAACAATATGTGAACGAATATTGCATTGTGCTCTGCCTATTTCAATCCCAAATGTTTCTCTGTATCTTCCAGTGTCGAATCAATCAATCTCTTTATCACTGATGCTGGCAGCTTTGGCCGTTAACACCCGTAAGACTCTCACGTTGTTTGGCTCCCAAGTTCGTCCAGTCAGATTTTGTTTACCTAACCTTACTTCAGTTTATGAGAGTACATCTCTTATTAGCGCCCACTACCTCAATGCATTTCCTCTAATATTAATCACAATAACCCTGAAAAAAAGAGAGAGACGAACCGTTGCCTAATAGTGACCATCTCGGTGGCACTTCTATGCACTATTCCGTCTTTCAGGCGTCATGTTAATGTGGTATAGTGGGGTGGGACTAAGTCCCTTGTACTGCGGCCACTTCTGGCCTATTGTACCAGCCCCAGATGATAGGTGAGGGTGATTGTGGAGCAATTGGTGGAATGAAGATTAGCAGGGGAAACCGAAGTACTCGGAGAAAACCTGCCCCAGCACCACTTTTTTTCCCCCTTTGGCACTACAGCCCCAGTGGACCTAGGCCTACCTTCATGAACTTTTCCGTTCACTTCGGTTTTTCTAAATCTTACACATTCGGTAGGACTCCTTGGGCGGGTGATCAGTTCGTCGCAAGGCCTCTACCTGTACACAAACACAGAAAAACCCACACGCACAAACTGAACATCCATGCCCTGAGTGGGATTCGAACCCACGATCCCGGTTTCCAAGCGAGCGAAGACATTACATACCTTAGACCGCTCGGCTACCGTGACCGGCCCAGCGCCACTTTGTCCACCACAAATTCCACTTGACCAGACCCGGTGGGAAGCCAGCGACTAACCGCTTGAGCTATGGTGCGGCCAAAATTGAACTTAAGTACGGAAGCAGGGCAATTTCTTCAGCAGTTGGTAGGAGCGGTTATGCCTTATGTCACCATGACATCATCGTTTGATGATACTGTGTTGTGGGATGTAATGCACTGCAGTCCGGTCAAGCGGTATGCTGTTGCCAGGCACTTGAATAAACATATTCCTGAATGTGACCCCCTCTGTGGTCTAGTGGTCAGAGTTCCTGGCTACAGATCCAGATTCCCGGTGCTACCAGATTTTCTGAGAAGTAGTGGGTCTGGAACGGGGTCCATTCAGCCTCGTGAGGATATTTCAGGAGCTATTTCAAGAGAATAGCGGCTCCGGTCTAGAAAACCGAAATTAACCGTGGGGATTCGTTGGGCTGATCACGCGACACCCTCTATCCGCTAAATTTGTCACTAACTTTTCCGAAAAGCGGCGGTCGTTCGGTCGGTATAGTTCACGTGCGGACTAAATCCACGGAGTTTTATCCCTCAATATATTATTTGCAATTTCATTTCGGTTGATCATTCTGTTAAGTACCGCAAGGAATCAGGGTAACATGGGACTAATGCTAGGAGAAATCTCCATGCGTGATACAGTATTGCATCTGTGTGTAACTGATAGCAATGTGTTATTCGTTTGTTGCAGCCGCATACTTTGCAGGGTAAACACAACCGTTGTCTTCATCAGAGCACTTCACTTGCTACAACAATGAATGGTGTAATTGGCGTCAATGGTCATGTTGATCTGAACGGGAGCGGAAGTGAACTGATATCACAGAATCTGCCCAAAGGCTGCTGGACGATTGGCCTGATCAACTCCAAGTTCCGGTATCTGACTGCCGAGACTTTCGGCTTCAAGATTAATGGCAACGGCGCATCACTCAAGAAGAAACAGATCTGGACTTTGGAACCATCCTCTGCTACCGGAAATGAATCCACGATCTATCTCAAGTCCCACTTGGATAAATATCTGGCCGTGGACTCTTTCGGAAATGTGACGTGTGAGAGCGAGGAGCGGGACCCTGGATCCATGTTCCAGATCTCTGTAGCCGATGATGGCACGGGTCGCTGGGCTCTGCGTAACGTGACACGCGGCTACTATCTGGGAGCCTCGGCCGACAAGCTAACGTGCACTGCCAAGGTGCCAGGAGACGCAGAGCTATGGCACGTCCATCTTGCCGCCAGACCTCAGGTGAGTCAGCGCTGGTCGCTCACGATTTGTGACAGTAATGTATCTCAACAGAGGCATACGAATTACTACAGTTATAGGCCTGCATGTTAATTAAGGCACACAGAGAGATGTGAATAATATTTGCATTTCAATTAGATTTCTGTCTAGCATAGGCAGACCCATTTCTGTATGTCGTCATTGCACATACTATCCACTGTCACGTCATGTTGCAGTACAGGACTACTATAAATGATTCATTCGTTTTTAAAACGCTATATTTTTCAAAGTAATACACATAGAAATATAATTCATATATAAAAAGAACCGTAGACTCACCAAGTTTTCTCCACTCTGTAAAAATGTTCTATGTGTGCGCCTTGGGTCACACGACACACGTCCAGGCGGTAGTCGAGCTCGTTCCACACATTTTGTAGCATCCTGTCAATGGTCATCACTGCAATATCGATGCGTTCCCGCAGCTCTACTAGTGTTCTAGTGGAAAATGTGAAACAGAGGGCTAACCCATGAGTCGTAGGGTGAGGTTGGAAGTTGCGTTACGTGTAAGGAACTGGGCTCCATATGCAGTGTGCCCTGGTTTGTTTTGGCTGTCACATGAAGGTGTAACGGTAGTCTGGATATGTAGGTCATATATTGAGAAACAAGAAATACATGCAACATATTGGTAAGGAAGCTTCTCAATGCACTTCTGCTTCAGAACAAATTTCAGTGGATTAAAACAATCGATGGAACGACATTGCACTTACTTGGCCTTGACTGGGTTACGCTGGAAATTTAAGTACTTTTTTTCTTCCGGAAAACCATTATTTGTCTCTGATTATAGAAGTGAAGACTTGTATGCATCACTTAGTTAGTTAGTTATAGGGGAGGGTGGGTTTCCCCATACACTTAGACCAGTAATGGTCCATTGTGCTTCCCTCTATGATATTCTACCAGTCTCTATACCCTACCGATAAATGGTGCGTACCATCAGTCCCGCCGAGCAAGCGAGTTCGGCCACTTGCTTAGCAGTGTCTATAATGCTTCCCCCATCTATCAGAGGCCTTAGAGACTATTGTTGGGCGGGAAACGTCCTGGAATTTGGCTCAGTGATCTCCTTTGGAGATATGAGGTTCTTTTACGTGCCGTAAAGTTACGACACGGGACACACAGCTTGAAGTCCCTCCCGGAGGACTTGTTCCCTGAATTTTTCCGCCCTTAAAAATTCGACGACCTCCGCCGGGTATTTGAACCCGCGTACCACGAGTCATGAGGTGGGAACAGTACCTAGACTACGGAGGCCGCTATGCATCACATAACAATTGCTTTTAAATATTTCATATAAGTCAGAGGGATCTCAGCCGTATAATATCCTGAAATATATATTTTATACAAACTCATGATATTATATCTTACGAGTATATTGGTAGACCACAATGGGGACACTGACATAAGGAAACACGACAACAGACTGATAACAGCCGCAAAATAGCTGAATAAAAATGAAATTTAACAACTAGCATGAAGTAAAATAACGTGCACGAGGGAAGCACGGGAAACAAATACAGTGCAGTGGTCTCACTCGAGGATAGAATTCACCTGATGATGGCCCAATGAGGCCGAAACATGTGAATATAAATTAGTAAAAATACATGTGAAACCATGACAATTTGAGGACTGTGAACATTCACTTTTAATGTGTAAATTTATATACTACGCAAAGGGCTTTATTGATTTGAACTGTCATAATATTAAAATGCATTTTTAGTGAACAACATATTTCTAACGTCTTTTTAAAGTTGTATTACTGATGGATACGTTAGTAAGTAAATATATAATTATAAAAACTCGTAAGTACGACGGAAGAATAAAATTCGCCCAGCCGTTTTCGAGAAAATCGGATCTCTCATAGTGCGCGTACCGTTAAACAGTTTTATCTAAGGCGATGTCTGTATAAATTACTGAAATTGAGTGAATTTGGAACCATTTTAGAGAAAATTGCCATTTTGTTTATTTTGGGGTCAATATGATGTGCCCCTATGTTTGGAGGTAGCATGTTTATATTCGCTACTCGCCTGCCACCGACTTGTAACAAATAGATACTTAAATACCGAATATGAATGTACGTACATACGTACAGAGAGTCGGCATTCCACAGACCACTTTTTCTTACTGATAGACGCTGAAAACCTGTAAATCCGCTAAAATATTCAGTTCGATTTTGCCACCATTACGCCACTCTCCCTTGTGTTCTACATATGTGAGAAAGTAAACACAGATGCCATATTGGTAATCTGTACTGGGTTGAATTGGTCAGAGTAAGCGTTGTTTTAACAATCGGAGCTCGAGGGAGAGAGAGTTGTGTTGGTGGTTTTCTGGCAGCCGTTCGCAGTCAGCGTAGTACTGATAACAGCTTCGTGCTGTCGTCCCAGAAGTCCAGTCGCATGGAATGTCAGGCTATTATTGTATACTTCACTAGTTACATCGTTTCCTCTCACATAGGGAACATCCTCTTATGGTGTTCAGCAGGAACTTCCGGTGCTCGCGAACCTCCGTGTGTGTGTTGTGCAGGATGGCCGGCAGAGGGATATCTCACTGTTAGAATTTCTACCATAGCATGCGAGAACTTGACATGAAGAGAGCGGGCTGCATGGATTTAAGTTTGAAAGTTGCTGTAGGAATTCGATTGTACAGCCTATCGCAGTATCGATTAGCATATACTCGTAAATTTGCTTCTACATATGAAGAGTAGAGAAAAAACAAAAACGGCTTTATCACCTAACCAGAAGTTGATATATTCTGTTAAATTGTAATCCATCCCGATGTTTCTCGAATCCTTCTAATGACGTTTTATAAAGCATACTTGAAAAGCACATGCAGTCGAGTATCTTGTTACTTCAGATCATTGTGAATAGGATATGCAGATATATATTTACTTATTCGGATTGTAGCATATTTTAATCGAGATACATCAGCCAGTGAAAATGTATAAAATTTCTGCCGTAACCATCGATATAGGCGGCCTGCGCCACAAACTAAATCTTCAGCCTCGTCGTTTTGTGTTGTCACGACCACACCACACCCAATGGTCATTGCTCACTGGTGTAGTGTTCACGATTTTCCGTGTTATCACTGGTTCGTGATGCCAGGCTCTGCTTCTTAGCCTTCTGTATTGCTTCTTCCCGTATCTCTGGTTTCCAGTCTTGCAACACCCCGAGTCCGTGACCCGCAACATTCTCACGTCGCGTTCCATAGTTTCCCGTAGTTGCCATAGTGACACGTCCCCTGTTGAGTACCTATATGCAAGTTTTACTTGTGAATCTCATTTTTACAGGTGAATCTACGGTCAGTGGGACGCAAGCGTTTCGCGCATCTGTCGGAGAACCTGGATGAGATTCACGTGGATGCGAACATCCCGTGGGGCGAAGACACCCTGTTCACATTGGAGTTCCGTGTGGACGAGTCGGGCAAATACGCTCTGCACACATGCAACAACAAGTACCTTAGCCGGGAAGGCAAGCTGGTCGATGCGTGTAACCCGAATTGCCTGTTCTCAGCTGAGTATCACAGCGGTCAGTTGGCGCTGCGTGACCGCCAGGGTGCCTATCTCAGCCCCATCGGCTCCAAGGCCGTGCTCAAGTCGCGTTCCCAAACCGTCACCAAGGACGAGCTTTTCTCCCTTGAAGACTCACTGCCTCAGGCCAGCTTCGTGGCTGCCCTCAACGGACGCTACGTTTCTGTAAAGCAAGGTAGGCAGCAGCCACAAGTTTCGAAGGAAATTTCACAGGTTGTGGAGTCTGTGTGGAAACCAGTCGGAAGAGCGGTGTACAGCAGGACTGAGCCGACTATAGTCTTCAGCATCTCGGCTGGTTCCAACCGGGTCACCCGGTAAAAACCGAACTAACAAGTGTTGCCATTGACCTAAGGCAGAGCTACCTCTTATTCGTCCTCGTTCGCATATTCGTTTTTCTTATCGCTTTCATGCAATGTAATATTTCCCTTACCATGTTTATATACCACCTGTTTTTGTGTTTCTTAAACCACTCATTTTCTTTAGCTGGAGTATATAATAATAACAACACTGTACTGCAATGTACTGCTGATGACGGATAAGTCTTTTACCCCTAACAGGTAACAGCTGAGGTTCCCGGCTGAAGGCTTATATCCAGCCTCTTAGTGTGACTGACTGCTGTATATCCCTTTACAAGTAAAGGAACGGATTATAATCTTTGTTCTAGACTTCACTGTAGGGAACTGCTCAGATATAGGTGTCAGAAAGTGCGACTTCTCATTCTAAAGGGCAGTGTATGTATCGAGACATGGATGAATACTCGTGTCTGCTTTTCTCTGCGTGTTGGCCCGTGTAGGTAGCGGCCTTGCGATGGGCTGGTGTCCCATTGAACTGGTGCTACCAGTTAGTTCACAGAATTACTGGGGTTTTGGAAGTGTTTTCCATCGTCATATTCTAGAAAATAGAAAACACGACTAGATACTATAGGGTTTTGACGATGGTGTATAACACACAGAGATACTGGGTTTTCGGACTTTGTCCATCGTCCGGATTCTAAATAACTAAGAAAAAACACAACGTTTCGGAAACTGGATCTGTTCCCGTCCTCAGGTGAAGGAAGACGCCTACTCTGTTGTGTCCTTTCGGAAGAGCTAGCCTGAATCACTGGACAACCGATGTCACAAAATAGATCCAGTTTCCGAAATGTTGTGTTTTTTCTAAGTTATTTAGAATCCGGACGATGGACAAGTCCGAAAACCCAGTATCTCTGTGAGATAACACGACGTTTCGGAAACTAGATCTATTTCCTTCCTCAGGTGGGGGGAAGACACCTATTCAGTTGGACTCCATAGAAAGAGCTATTCTTAATCACTGGACAACTCCTGTCAGATTTAGTCTGTTAATTAATCACCTGAGACCAGGATAATTCCGCGGGAGATAACAAGAACGTATACAATAAAAACTCTAATAGAGCACGCACATGCGTGGAACTAGGATAGGAAGGAGGTCAAGGGGCTGCAGCACATCACTTAGTATCAAATGTTACCGGTTCCACCGGCTCACGTGCAACTCGTCTTTCCCTAAACTTATTAAGTGTTATTCACTTTAATATCACATAACTATTAAAGTTTTTCATTACGTGTTTCGACCAATATGGTCATCATCAGGCGTTTAAAATTATAGTTGAGGAAACTGCTATGCTTCTGTTATCGTGGCTTTGGTTGTGCAACGCTTATAAAGTGAACAACTTTTAGTAAGATTTAGTAAGTTTTAAGGTCAGTGTATGTATTTGCTACTATAATTCTGGGTACCTGCAAGTGGATATAAGAATGGAGTGTGACTTCTCCAGACTAAGTTAGAACCGGAAGAACACCCAACATTTCTAGATATGGCTTTCAAATTTGTTATTATAATACCATTGTTTTGTATATTGATGTACCGATATATTATATTCGAAGTTGTCAAAAATATAACATTGGGTGGTCCTGGTAGTGACGTTTCGGATGGACATGCCGTATTCATCTTTCTGGTCGAGGGGTAAGCTAAGCAAGATAGAAGCATGAAACAGGTTTCCATGCGTCCCCAGCCCCTCCAGTCTGAGATAATGCTTGAAATAAGGCCCTCTTCCTTAGACATTCTTTGGAATTTATTGTTCTTTAATAAGGCTACAATTGGACACTGTAGTTTTGGCTATTGACAGCGTTGTTAAATAAACGGTAAATAATAAGTGAATCAAAGACCTAGAAGAAGGGACCATTTGATGGTGCTGGTAATACTGAAGCGTGTTGCTCGGAGATTTTTTTCCCCCTTGGCACTACAGCCCCAGTGGGCCTAGGCCTACATCCATGAACTCCGTTCACTTCGGTTTTTCTAGATCTTACACATTCGGTAGGACTCCTTGGGCGAGTGATCAGCTCGTCGCAAGGCCTCTACCTGTCGACAAACACAGAAAAACGCACACAAACATCCATGCCCTGAGTGGGATTCGAACCCACGATCCCAGCTTCCGAGCGAGCGAAGACAGTGCATGCCTTAGACCGCTCGGCTACCGTGACCGGCTGTTCGGAGAATACTGTTGTAAAATAGAGTTTTTGTTAAAGATACGTAGGATTTTGCTGATGTTAGTGAAACTTGCACTGTTATTAAGATTATATAAGTCACATATATGCAGTTGAAGAAAATATATTAAGAGAGGACCCTCTCCTGTAATGAACGGCAAACCTTGCGTAACCTTCACCTCGTACCAACCTCATTCATTACGCAAAGTGGAAAAACTCCACTACTTTGATTGTCAGTGTTGTGAGTTCATTTAAGGAGAATATTACTGTTTCACTGCCATTAAATATCGGTATATATTTTCCTTAATTACACGGAACAAACATTTTAGGTTATGATATATCTATATGTAGGCCTACCTAATAGCGAAATATGGACACTGTCCGCTCTGCCCATACGGAAGTAGTGTCCGGTATACTTTGGACTTGGGCCTGGAGCCGGTTTGATCATGACCTTCGTCTCCGAATCCCGTCACTGTGACTGAGCTCTCACGGTCATGCTAAAGTGGATCACAAGTTAGGCGATTCTGGTTGACTGCTCTAAGTTCTTTCCTCTTCTCATATCTGCGGGTTACTGTTATCTAGCATAAAGGAGTGGGTCCTTAAAAATGGATGTTGTCGGTAAGGAATTTTAGTGACAGAGCAAAATGTGCATTGGGTGTTGCTTGGAGTCATCGCCCTCTGCAGACTGGATCAATACAGCGACACAGAGGCTGGAGCTGGGCCCACACCGGTTACCATGGCACCGCCGAGTCAGCAAGAAGATATCGATGTTCTCTTGTTTCTTTATCAGAGCAAAGAAGTCATTGCTCAGGGTCTAGACAGATGTAAACCGCTACTATATGTGTTTACTGGCTGACACTAGTTATAATCGAACCTTGGTTTCAGCATCGTTAATAGCAAAACCGGTACTGTACCCGTATTTGGGCTGTTAAATCCGGTTTACATCAGCATAAGCTAGTTTTCCAACGTCCATTGTAATATTACCTTTTCGTCATTTCTGTCCCAAGTTGCCGTATTCACATCAAAATTTTTCGGACATCATTTCCCTATCCGGTCTGCATGGCCAACCAGTTGAACATTTTTTATCCATTGATTGATTGATTGATTGAAAAAGAGAGAGAAGTACAAATCACGAAATTCCTGTGCAGATAATGTTCTCCGTTTATTAACCTGTATTAAGGTCATAGACCAGGCTGCGCCATAGCTCAAGCTGTTAGTCGCTGGCTTCCCACCGCGGCGGCCCGGGTTCGATCCCGGGGTCTGGTCAAGTGGGATTTCTGGTGGACAAAGTGGCGCTGGGGCAGGTTTTCTCCGAGTACTTCGGTTTCCCCTGCCAATCTTGATTCTACCAATTGCTCCACAATCACCCTCACCTATCATCTGGGGCTGGTGCAGTAGGCCAGAAGTGACCTCAGTACAAGGGACTTAGTCCCACCCACTAGCAATAAAAAAAGTTCATAGACCTACTTTATTTTAAGAAATGATTTATGTAATTGTGTAAAAACTGATATTCACATGTGCGGTATTCTTACTTGTATATACTTACTTACTTACTATACCGACTAGTATGGAAACTGATCGAACAAGATTTGAACGAACTTTTTAGCAATACTGAATCAATATTTAGGCTTGCATTAGGTCAGCCTCATCTTGAAGTTGCATGTGTTGGCATACCCACCATTTGGAATCCATGAATTTGAACCATCAAAGAGAAAGCAAAGAACAGATAAGCTATAGGAAAAAAAAAACTACAAATGGAAGAACTACCTGGACATGTGCCATGAGAAGAGTGGCTGAGTGTGACAAAACAGAGCCAGGACAATAGAACAATTTACTCAATATGAGATTTGATGTTTTGACAGTCATTAAGATTCATATTGTGGTCTTTTGTATTTATGACATTTCGTAGTCTGGTAGGCGGTAACCAAAGTTTAGGAGGACATGCCGGATCCATTTATACGGTGCTATGACCAAGAAGACAGCGAAATTAAGAGGGTAGTTAAAAGTTAGCAAAATGCAACTATACTGAAAATGTTGACACTAACTTCGCCGCAAACTGCGGTCGCTTGGTCGGCATAGTTCGCTTTCGGACTACAGGCCACGGATTTTTTTTTTTGTTTTGAAAATATCAGTGCTTCTTGTCAGCACGTTAAAGGTAGTAGCACATTTAACTTAGTGATGGTATGCATCAGGGGTGGTCAGTCCTTAAGGAGGCGGTCCATATTGAAAGATGCAATAATTTACGAGGTTCGGAGAATCAAATATCTGTATACTAACAAATAACGTAAACTTACCTTATTAATGTGAAACGTAGGGCTGTTACTTCTCCGCGAGAGAATCAGCCTTTCGCCCCCATTCTGAAATGCCAGTTAACATGACATGTAAGTCGACATTGGTGACTCTCGAACGGAAATTTGATTTGTTTTATAAGTGAAATATCCTGTTTTAGCGCGAAACATCTAGCAAGTGCTAACAAATACACTTGCCGACTTTCGTGGTAACTTGCTCCACTCCGACAACCGTGGTACTGCTAAACAAGTAAAAAAAGTTAATTATAGTTTCCTGGCTGAAACTACAACGAAAAATTGAGTAGTGCTGCACGTCAGCCATTACAAGTTGCTTCTTTCTTTGGCATCACTCACTTCATCCGAGAAGGGATTGCCGTCCCTGACGCCGGTGT